AAAATTAAAAAAGAAAAGATTCTCTTCAAAAAATAAGAGCCGAATTCACATATTTTTTTAAAAAATCCTATTCAGATAGGTTAAAAAATGAGCTAGCGGCATACATTAGTCAAAAACCTAAATAATTCCTATACTTAAAAAATTATCTAACTTTTTTAAAATATAAAATTAAAGCAATTATTATTCAACGTCTCGGTATAAACAAATTAACATATTTCAGTAACAAACTGGCCGAGCGAATTCTAATACATGAATTAAAACTTATTCATAATTTCAACAGTTTGTTATAGCTTATAACTTTTGCTTTCCTAAATTGACTCCACTTGCATTCTAATGACATGATGAGAAAATTTCTTCGAATAATCTACTTTGTAAATAATAGATTTGCAACTTAATTCTATGCATTATTCATTCATTGCATTGCAGCTACAAAAGGAATTAATTTCATTATTTAAAACAGCACAGTTTCAAGTAACCCACTTTCGCAACACACGCATTGAGCATTACATATTTTTATTCATCGTAAGATTCAATAGAAATAACAAATAAAGCAAGAAATAGCAACAGTACAGGTTGGTTTATTTAATTAAAGAAATGCATAATTTTATAGAACTTGAACCTTTCTAATTTTGAATAGATAAAAAATAAAACCTTTTTGTAATGATAGGTTACCTTTAGGTTATTTTTTGTAGTAAAATAAAAGTAACGTTGGCGTTTGCTTGCATTTGTCCATAATTATACCCATACAAATATATAGCCCCTTTCTAATAAAAAATATAAGCAATTACTTAAGAAATACTTTAAAACTGCTAAAATAATATAATAATAAACTACTCATTGAAGAATTTATTCATTAAAAAGTGTGGTACGGTAGTACATCAGCAAGAATAGTATAAACGATGCTTGCTTTTTCTACATAATTAAATGGTCCTTCGAGCCGGATAAAGGTTGCAAAATGACGGACTTGTAAAATGACCCTACTGGTGAAATATGACTATGAATACTTTAAAATTTAGAAATGACAAAATTAGAATAATAACATAAAATTTTACAACTAATGTTATCGTAAGAAGTGATTCGTTTTTGAGAAGAACAAATAGGTTTCTGTAGTTTTATAAGGTAGTAAGAAAAATACGAGAGGTACACATGAATCTTATTTTAAAATANAAAAATATTTGGGACAGTTTTTAAAAGTACCATCCACATAAACATTGGTCGCAAGACAAAGCACTTCTGCACCCTGAAGTATAAGTATACATTGGACGGAATTCACCAAAAGGTAATTTACACCAACCCGAAATATTTATTCATTTTCAAATCATCAGATCAGTCTAAAATAACCATAACCTAAAAATATCGTAAATTGTGATTGTACAAAAACTATAAGTCCTTCAGAAATACCTCTCTTTGGCTCACTTATTGTGCACAATGATCATTACTTTTTCCCGGAAGGCCAATGTTAGAACCATTGAATTAACTACGTTATGAATTTTTCAAAAAATTATCTTTCCGTCAAAAGTTTTTCAACCTTTTGTTTGTATAAATAGCTCCAACTGAGACGTTTCAAATTTTATTTTAAACGTTTTACAATTATTTCATTGTGATTACTGTGATAGATAGTTTTTGAAATAGATGCGGAAAACGAGACAAAATTGAAATTTGCAATTGCCATTTGCGGGGGCCATTTTTGATATTTTACACCCTGGAACCCAATTTACATAGTGGTATAATCCGATTTGTCTTTCTTCTTTTATAACATTTACTTATAATACATATGTAAGGGTACATAATATCAAAATTAACTTGGTAAAAAAAATGATATTTTTTGTAGATTCTGTTGAATTACTATTCTTTATTTTCCTTAATTATCTGTTATTACTTGTAATCAAAGAATTTTGGTTTGCTTATCAGACCATGCTATTGACACTATTCATTGTTATCTACACCGAGAATTCCCAGTTACGAAGCCAAATTAATCATTTCTTGGAATAAAACTAAATGCATCATATATGAAAAAAGTAAGCAACAATTTAATGATCAAATACATAATTTCAACAACATTCGAAAATATTCAGCACATCTACAATGTTCGTAAAATTTTATTCCACTTCTTTAAAAATAGTAATTATTGGGAACTATAATATAGAATAACTTCAAAATATTTTTCTTCCTTAGGCAAAAAAAAAGCTGAAAAGACTTATCAGTAAATACGTAGACGCAACAATCTTAAAAATTTCTTTCAGAAAGTTATTGCCGTCTAAAATAAAGGAATACCATAAAGCCTTTTACTATAGAGCTTGGTCGTCTCGTATATTAACACGATAAATTTTATTACGGTATTAAAGTGTATTTACGATCATAATAAAGATAAATCTAAGAGTAGACACTAAATAGTGAAAAAATCATTAGGTGAATCAGTAGCGACTCATATGTTACACTAGTGGGCACGTCAGTACAAAAAGTTAGTTAAGTGCAAGTCATACGCAGTCACAGTGAAGATTCCTTGAATCAAGATTAATTTGGAGCTTGCAAGTTTAGTCGTTTTTGAGTCTAACAAGAACATAAAAATCGTTAAAACTTAAAAAATATTTACAGTATCAGAGTTAAGAGGTATCTTTAGAATTAAAATTATAAATAGTTTCGATCATCATATATATAAGGTCGTCAGTCTTAAGACTGGTTGGATACAAACCTCCCCTCTTTGCTATCCTGAGCTAATCTTCGCATTTCCCTAAAACTAGAACATCCCACATTCTTAACTATTTGCGAACAATAATCTAATCTAGGTCTACGTCTACTCCCCTCAACTCATGTTTCTACCTCTAATATGTCTCTGACTAGACCTACATGGTTGAGAAGACGTGGTACTAATATATCTCTCCTTTTTCTTATTGACTTCCTTAGAGTCCTCTGTTCTCCTATTTTTTCTAATACCTCTTCATTTCTAACCTCTATCCACGGTATCCTCATCATTCGCCGGTAACACCTCATTTCGAATGCTTCTAACCTATTGTTTTCCCCTGCGTCCACCGTCCATGTTTCGCACCTGTACAGTACCGCTCTTCAGACATACACTTTTAACAATCTTTTTCAAATTCCTAAATTGACTTCTTTTTATTGAGGGCTGTGTTGTCCTTTGTTTTATATCCTTACTATTCCTTCCGTCCTAACTTATCTGACTTCCTAGATACCTAAAATCAGCAATTTCTTCTAATCTTTCGTCTCCTTTCTTTGTATTTTCTTTTCCTAATTTTTCTTCCCCTGCATACCAGTATCTTTGTTTTACTTTTATTTATTGACAGTAACATAACTATGTTCCAACATCCAAACACCAATAGGGTAACAATATGTGTAAGCATCAGTGTATTGTCTCCTACACCTACAGTTTTTTAGAGCAGTACATCACCTACATGTTGTTATATTTATCACAATTTTAACGTGATTCTATGAAACTAACAAGCAAAGCTCTTTATAGTTTGTAAAAAATAAAAGTAAATGGTCTTATACACCAGCCGTTACCGATGTTAGTATTACTGAAAACAATAGCCATATGAAAACAAGTGATAAGTTTTCATTTAAGGTTGATGAACTAAAAGCAGTTATCTTACACATAAAAATGTAATAATGTATGCTTACATAATACAACGATTAAAGGAAACTGAAGATTATTTTTTTTTTGTTTCAGTATTGACTGATATTGATATCAGTTCGTACGATGACGACACTTTGGGAGCACCATCAGTGGCATCTTTCAGATTGAATCAAGATGTTTTCTGTGTGCAGCCATCAACATTAAAATCGTCTGGATCATTCAAAGATAACAACAGATCATCCACGGGTGCAGTGAAAAGACAGCCTGCTCAACAGGATAGTCAACCACAGCTCATAAAATACAGAGGTAAAAGAAACATTTTTCATAATTGTATGACCCCAACAATAAAGTAATCGTCATATGGTAACAGAAATGTTCTTTAGAGTTTTGATTAGAATTTCCTCGCTGTCGCATTTTGATCAATGTATTCATGAAAGGTGCCTTTAATCTTTAAAGGGCTGCCATACGCAGCGGTGCACCAGAATATGTCTAGGGTGCAGTATTACTAATACTAAGGTGATCATATTTTTTAGTTAAGTTAAATAACTTAAATATAATTTTTTAATAAAAATTATACATAACAAATACTATTTAAGGATATAATAAAAATCAGTATTTTTTTTTAAATGAATCACATTTTTTTTAATCAGAATTACTGAGTACAAAACTTTTTATATTTTTCTGAACTATGGATCTTTTTCAGTAGGTCTTTTTTACTTTGAAGCATTGTATAAAATTCTGTACAATTTTCTTCATAATTAACTTTAGTAAGTAATATCGCTTTTAGTGTGTCTATTTCAAGTCGAGTCTTGTCACTTGTCCAAAGGCTATTCATTAAAGAAAATATTCTTTCCGTAGAAGCATTTGTGCCAGGCAGGCAGAAAAAGAACTCTGCTAATTTTCGTAAAATTCTAGTTGAAATATATTTAAAATAAATATTGAAAATAAGAACCTTTTCAAAAATTCGGGACAATCCGGGACAAAAAAACCTGAATCCGCGAGAAATATTGCTTCTAGAAAAATCCGGGACGCAAGGTGGAAATCCGGGACGTATGGTCACCTTACTAATACCTAAATTTGTTTAACACCCATGCAAGTCACCTATGATTAGGACTGCCATCCGTCCGGGATTCTCCGGATTTATCCTAATTTGATGGGCGTCCGGCGGGGGTTTTTAAAAAGTGTCCTTAATTTATGTTTGTTAATTTATTAAATTGTATTGACCAAAGAATGTTTTTTCAAAGACAAAAACAACCGGTTACTTAGGATCATGGAATTACGGTAGGAAAAGACAACACGAACGAAGTGAGTATTGTCGTGGTCATGTCATACATTTGTCTTTCTTCAAACCCAGGCCATAATGCTCATATGGAACGGGTGTTTTCAGTAATCTCATCGCAGTAAACAAAATTCCTACAGTGAAAAGTATAATTCAGTAGTAGATTTATTAAATATCTACAAATAATAAAACGTCCAACTAATACAATCTGCTTTTCATATCTATTTTATTGAATTGTCTATCTATAAAATTTATGAAGTACCTAATTGATTGTTATCCATCATTTGCTTTACTCTATTTTAATTTCACATGTCCGAGTCGGCGTTACAGAAGTCATCATTTCCGCATTTATGATGATTTACCATTATTCTTACTTTTATACCAGAAAATTGGGGTATTTATACAGAAACTGTCGTTTCGCGCCATCTGCTGGTCTCCAATTACATTTTTCCTTGTTTCAGAGCGTTCCTACAGCGATATCCAAAGAGTAGATCGCCGTCTTTGGCGCCCACGCGTAGACGATCGATTTCAGTAAGTTTCGTCAGATGGCACTCTAGTCAACAACCATGCGGATATGTTCAGATCTTGTTAAGTTCTTATTATTAATTAAAATACATCATAAACTTGCTATTAGTATCATGCAAGCTAAAACTACAACTCATTTTCTTTTACATTTTTGAAGTAATTTATAAAAAATCTCCAACTATATTGTCGTTATTAATAAGTTATTATTTGTTTAAATGTTTATTAATTCCATCATTCCTGTAAAATCTGTTTATGGCATTTACTTTATTATTGTGTCTACTCATAGAAATTCATCAAAATGTAAACGAATTTGCGTAATTGATTAATTGTGGTAGATAATGTAGTTACAATAACCATTCTTGTTTAGGAAATTTGTTATTAAAATGTGATCATTATAGTTAATTCATACATAAACAAATATATTACATGTATCTAATGTAACTGTTAGGCATATTACCAAAGAAGGAAATGCATCTGTCTGTAGGTAATCAATTTACTTATAATAATAATTGTGAAACTCATTTTTACATGTTCTCGATTTTTAAATAAATTTTTTAANGCTTAAAAATTGTCGACATTAGACTTTTAACATTGATGAAGGATTTTTTGATTTTTCGCGTTTGTATTTGTAATAATGACATGGTAGCAAAAATGAATGTGCAAAAAAAAGATAAAATCGTCGCTTTGAATGCAACTCAAACAATGCAGGATGTAAATAAAAAAAAAAAAGATCGCATTCGTTTTAATCAAAGAAAGCCGAGTCTCGTCTCGGTTGAGGTAAGGATGCAATTAATATAATTACATTTGTACATAGTTATTGTAATCAGTGCATTTGTTTTTATAATGTTGATTTTGATGTACATACCATATGCGTTCATATCTGCTTCTGAGAATATTTATTCAAAACCCTTTGATCTGATATTTCTTTACAAAATAACCGACTAGGAGAATGGTTTTGATACACGAACGATTTTTTTCACGTCAGAAGTTCCTTTTATGTGGGTTGAGAATGAATTACTTTGGGAATTATTAGACATGTAATTTATACTTACCAAGAAGAATTATAGTGCAACCAAATAAAGCAAATATGTTGAATTAAGAAATTATTATTTTTATTGAATCCGTAATACATACTGCCATCTACTAATTGAAGAGCAGAGGCATATATTTTAAAGCTTCATTATCGTTAATCATTATGTTCCAAATATTGCTTGCAATTTATAGTTAGAATTAAAGAACAGGAGAATCTGCCTTTTTTAAATTTAACAGACGTTTATTCTGTAAATACGTAGAAAATAATAAAGAATAGTAGAAAGTGGAAAAGAATTCATTCATCAATATTATTATGCAGCCGTGCTAATAAGGATCTCCCAGAGTGATTGGTTGCCTAGCAACTTTGTTGTCAAGCGCAAAAGATTCAAGATCACTTCAACGAGCTTATTTACGCTAATATCTCGTTTAAAACGACTCAAACTCATCCATTTTTTGATTAACAACGTCAAAACAACATAAAAAGTAACTGCGACGTAGTATTGTTTATAATTTTGGTATTAATTTTTGTAAAAAGTAATGACAATTTTATCTACCTTTTTAAATGATGAAAACTTCTGTCCAATGAATAATTGCTATGCAACATAAATGCAATGGATTTTAATAAAAGGTGAGTTATATGTACTGCCGCGTAAAAATGTATCTACGTTGCAATTTATTATTAAATTATCGTACGTGCGTCACACTCCCGGGTTAATGTTTTGTTGCTTGTGGCTCTACCTATGGGCTAGTGAAAGTATGTATTTTCACTCTTATTATCGACCACATTTAGTTTCAAGGTCGATCGCATGAGGGCGCAACATATTCCATTCATATTTGAAATTGATCGTAAGTTGTGATATTTTATTATATAGTGACAAAAATTCTCTATTTATTAAGTAATTTTTTATTGTGCAAATTACTATCGCTATTTTTTAAATCGCAACATTAAAATTATTTTAGTAGATCTGTGACAGGTGCATGTCGATGTTTTGTCCATAACCTTGAATTCGGCCAATGAGCGCGCTAACTACGGTATAGCAACCAATAGAAACTGTCTAACTGCCAGGGTCAACAAATCTTGTGAAATAGAGTTTAGAGGCGGCCATGTTGAAAACAACCTTTACTTGAACGTGTGTTATTTTTTCGATATTTGCAGGTGTTTTTGCAATTGTTTCGTTCAATTTTAATACTTACTATCAGTGTATTTTCTTTGTTGTGAATATTAGTGACAAGTGTTTGTGCTAACACTGGATATTTCTGTGGCATGGGATGTTTTGATAGTGCTGAGACCTTGAATTGTGTTTGGCTTCTCGGCATACTTTAAGGAGTTTAGGACACGGCTCACTATGTCTTATAGGAAAACAGGTAATAGTTCCTCTTACATTCTATCTCTATACCCATTTATATTACAAACAGATAGGGATAAAGATAGTATGAAGTATAATTTATACAATTAAATTACATTTAGGTTAGGTTATTGTAGAATCCGGCAAAAGGTGTATGTATATTGTGTATCCATCTATTCATAGTAAAGGCTCCGATTTATTTTCAAAACGTTTAATAGTTTAANACTTGTAATAGAATGAATAATAATAATGAATTAATATAAGTGGATAATAATGAATTGAATATAGTGATTATAATGAATAATTTGAACTGTGGTCCGAGACTTAAATAGTCTGCACAAATAGGACACGCCTCTAAGTAAACAGACCCCTTGGTCAACGCTACTATTGTTGCTATGCACCCTTCAGGTACCCAGAGAAAGTCCGGCGTGACGTAGTTGGGGGCTCGGACTTTCCCAACATTTGGTACCTACCTGAAGGGTGTAATAAAGAGGCCCAAAGCTGTTTGCAACACAATTTCAACTTACATAGAATTACAAGTAATAGATATGATATACAGTTATATACAAAAAAAATACAAACTAAAATAACTATAAAAAATATAAACAAATATGAACACATCGACACCGAACATCCCGCCCGCCTTGAAAGAATATACTTTCAACGTTTTTTAATTGTCGCTAACGGGTATCGGGCAAATTTTGGATGTGGGACGTTTTAGCACTCCCGTTGAGGTTTTTACGGTCACTGTTCGCACAACACCGTCACGTCCTGGATGCAGTTCGATGACCCTGCCTATTAACCATTTTAATGGTGGCAAATTGTCCTCCTTGAGGATCACAACGGAATCCAGAAGGACATTTGGTTCCTTGGTTTTCCACTTCGTTCTTTGCTGAAGCGACGATAGATACTCCATTCTCCACCTCTTCCAAAAATGCTGAGATATTTGTTGAATTCTCTGCCATCTGTCCAATCGGTTATAGGATATGTTGCTAACATCTGGATCCACAACGGCAGTAAGTGGTGTTCCAATAAGGAAATGACCTGGAGTTAATATGTCCAGGTCGTCGGGAGAGTTTGGAATCGGTAGGAGAGGACGGGAATTGAGGATAGCCTCAATTTGCGTTAGCAATGTATACATTTCATCATATGTTAAATACGTGTTACTAATGACTCGTTTCAAATGAAATTTGATGGACTTTATGCCCGCTTCCCAAAGTCCTCCAAAATGTGGAGCTTTGGGAGGCATGAAGTGCCACGTTGTTTTCTCGCTTGAAAGACAATTGTTTACATCATTTTGAAACTTATTACAATTGATGAGTTTGTATAGTTCTTTTAATTCTCGGTTAGCGCCTATAAAATTTGAACCATTGTCTGAATATATATTTGATATCATTCCTCGTCGTGACACAAAACGTCGTAGAGCGGCTAAAAACGCTTCTGACGTTAGATCTGTGACAAGTTCGATATGAATTGCCTTGGTTGATAAGCAAATAAACATGACAATGTAAGCCTTGTAACATTTTTTGCCTCTGCCTAATTTTTCTTTTAGTAAAATAGGCCCAGCGTAATCTACCCCACTATTTATAAAGGGCCTGGCTGCCTCTACGCGATTAGTGGGTAGATCGGCCATAATTGGATTGAGGTTAATAGGATTAGCCTTAAAGCATTGAACGCATTTTCTGATAACGCCTCGTACTATGTTACGGCCAGAAATAGGCCAAAAGGTATTTCGGATAACGGCCNTAAATCGCAACATTAAAATTATTTTAGTAGATCTGTGACAGGTGCATGTCGATGTTTTGTCCATAACCTTGAATTCGGCCAATGAGCGCGCTAACTACGGTATAGCAACCAATAGAAACTGTCTAACTGCCAGGGTCAACAAATCTTGTGAAATAGAGTTTAGAGGCGGCCATGTTGAAAACAACCTTTACTTGAACGTGTGTTATTTTTTCGATATTTGCAGGTGTTTTTGCAATTGTTTCGTTCAATTTTAATACTTACTATCAGTGTATTTTCTTTGTTGTGAATATTAGTGACAAGTGTTTGTGCTAACACTGGATATTTCTGTGGCATGGGATGTTTTGATAGTGCTGAGACCTTGAATTGTGTTTGGCTTCTCGGCATACTTTAAGGAGTTTAGGACACGGCTCACTATGTCTTATAGGAAAACAGGTAACAGTTCCTCTTACATTCTATCTCTATACCCATTTATATTACAAACAGATAGGGATAAAGCTAGTATGAAGTATAATTTATACAATTAAATTACATTTAGGTTAGGTTATTGTAGAATCCGGCAAAAGGTGTATGTATATTGTGTATCCATCTATTCATAGTAAAGGCTCCGATTTATTTTCAAAACGTTTAATAGTTTAACTGTTGTCTTATTCATGCATTTCCTAAACACAATTATAAAACACTTACGTGAAATTTGCCCTAATAACCCAATAGGTAACTAACTACTTTAGAAAAATTATCGCTAATGCTATTTACATTTAATTATGACATCTGTATATATTTGCTTTTATTAAGTATATTACTTTAAAAAAACGTTACAATTCATTGTCAATATTACTAATAAAATATACGTATGCAGTATACGTAATACCTACATTATTTAAAACAGGTAACTTTCTCTTTAGCGAATGACGTTTGATGGCATAATCTAGTTTTTGTGCTTGCCTACTAACACATTAAATCATCAAAGATCATTCAGACATTGCTCAAAACTCAGTGATGTCACTTTTTGTAAATAATATTGAATAGGTAGGTTAAATTTTCTTTTTCGCTTATTTTTCCAGAAATTCCTTTTATTAAATTTTTAACTCATAAACTTGCTATTAGTATCATGCAAGCTAAAACTACAACTCATTTTCTTTTACATTTTTGAAGTAATTTATAAAAAATCTCCAACTATATTGTCGTTATTAATAAGTTATTATTTGTTTAAATGTTTATTAATTCCATCATTCCTGTAAAATCTGTTTATGGCATTTACTTTATTATTGTGTCTACTCATAGAAATTCATCAAAATGTAAACGAATTTGCGTAATTGATTAATTGTGGTAGATAATGTAGTTACAATAACCATTCTTGTTTAGGAAATTTGTTATTAAAATGTGATCATTATAGTTAATTCATACATAAACAAATAT